GGAGGTGAGGAGGGAGAAGACACTGCAGCTTGTCTGCCGGCACGCCAGCGGATAGGGTCTTGGTGGCGTGAGAGGTTGGCAGCTCTGACGGGACAAAACAGTGACAGCGGCCAGGGGACCCACTCGGTTCGTGCAGGGGACTTGCAAGGAAGCACAAGCACGAGCCGGGTGACCCATGGGCCGGTCCCTTAGTGGTATGGCGGCTACGCGTTTCGAAGAGCTCGTCTTTTTCAAGCCAGAAAATTAGGGGAAGGTTGGCAGGACAGGACGCTTTTTGAATGTGGGGAAGTAGGTGGAGCTGCTGGAGGGCATTCACTTCATTGAGACTTCTCCCCGCACCTCATCTCTGCCCCCTCCAGCAGCTCCACCCACTTCCCCACATTCAAAAAGCGTCCTGTACCACCAACCTTCCCCTCATTTTCTTGCTTGAAAAAGAAGACGAGCTCTTCGAAACGGACGATTCATTTTTCTGTTCCCAAGAGCTGCCTGACCTGTCTCCAGCACAACTCAAGTTTATCCACACACTCAAGCTTAAATGGTCTGGAAACTGATGCAGAATGTAATCTTCGTACAAGAGTAAAGGAGAGGCTGGAAAAAGAAGAGAGTAAACATCAAGTTGTGATGAAGGTGGGCCAATAAGGAACGATCACTACAACTTTTCGAAGAGGAGACAGGCCTGGAATCTTAGTATCAGAGGGACTGGAGAAAAATATTCTCCAGTTTAAATCCCCAGGGTTGAACTAGGTTCTCTCCATCTCCTTGTCTTCACTCAAGGGTAGCTGGAAGTTTGCTGTCTGGGGGGGGATGACAAATCACTGATGACAGTACTCTCAAAGCCTACTTGTTAAAGAGACAATTGCTTGTTGCTGACAAAACAGAGGGCAGCTGATTTTGTAGTACTGAATTGTAGGAATGTTCTGATTCCCAGGAGATTTTCTGCCCAACAAATGATTGGCTCCACTTCCCCAAGGAAAAAGACTGATTTTCCCCTATTTTGTATGTTTAATATTATTGCTGAACAAGACGAAAGTCTTGAACTTTGCCCTGAGTTCCAGAATATTGGAGGCTACGCCAACAATTGAAAAGTGCCTTTGTCATGAACTGTAAGATCGCCACAATCAGTCCCTAAACGTTTGGTGATCATGGCTCATGAGAGGGGTCCAAGAGGATGACTGGGACTTTACCCAATTCAGAAGCCAATCATACATCGGTAGAGCTGAAAAACAGATTAGACAGTGAGGAATTAAAACTCTGTTCTAGGCCCAAAAAAAGGTATGTAATTAAGAGAAAAACTCAGGGAACCCGAGCTCATCTCAATACCTGATGGCCTGTTCACACCCAATGCATTGGAGCTGCTCTGACTGTTTTTTCCAGCGCAGCCACAAGACAAGAAAAGGCAATTTGCCTTGTCCCAGATGGATTCAGTTCACACCACCGTGTGGCTGTGTTGCGGTGGTGTGTGCTGAAAAAAAGTATGGCATGCAGTCGTTTTTTTCAGTGCAGTTTGACGTGGTACTACCACATCGCACTGTGACCATAGGACTTAATGAATTGTTACTTCCCATTTCAATAAAGTTATAAAAAGAAAAAAGCGTGATGTGTCGCAATCAGCACTGGGCCGGTCAAACACACACCAGCAGCCATGGGGTGTAGAGTGTCTGCTGAGCCCTTAAAGTGTATCAAAATTTTATATACTGCAGTAAGATATATGGCAGTGGCAGCGGGCCTGAAAAGCTGCCAGATCGCTTCCAGGGGCTGGTATACAGTAAACCCCCCCATCTTGGGTGTCGGCAGGAAGCAACGAGAGAGACCAGCGAATATCTGTTCGCTGATCTCCTCCCCGCTGAATGAATCTGGAAGCGACACTGACTGCATCACTCCCTGCTTCTAAGCTGTCATTCCGTCTAAAGAGTCTGGAGAGGAAGCTGATCGAGCAAGATCTGTGCTTGATCAGCTTCATTGGAGTGCAAAGGTGATATTAGGGGTTTAATAGACCCCCTGTCACCTCCAATGTGCAACTGCCGCTATTTTATTCTACAGGGTCTATGCTTTTAGGAAATATATAATTCTGGGGGAGGGCTTAAGTAATTTTTAGACCAATAATGTGGATTATAACTTGTGCAAAACTGGCTCTGGCATGGTTAAATGTGGTTGCTGCATTCATTATTTTTTTTTTCTTTTCAGGCTATTTTCATTTATTTTCAAGTGGGGATTGGGCCAGTAACACATTTCCTACCTTAGGGTTGCTCCACTCTATTGTCAACTTGTATTGAGGCTAGTGTTAAATGCACTAGCAAATTTAGTAGGACTTGACTAACAAATGAAAGCCCCAACACTAGTCTATACCTCCGCTGGTGCCGCCGTCGGTTTCCCCAAGCTCCGGTATCCTGGTGCGGCGCCTGGGACTGGCTCGGCGGGTCTCCCCGCAACGATCGGAGAGAGATTTAGCAGCTTCCAGCCGCTGATCTCTCCTCCAATCACTGGACCCGGAAGTCATGTATATTACATCACTTCCGTTGTCACTATTTACATTCTCCGGCTCTTAGAGCCAGGAAAAGAAACTGGGGAAGCAGATATCTGCTTCCTCAGCTTCTTTGGGGGCCCCTGATGTCTCCATAAAGAGGACCTGTCACACCCTATCTGCTATTATATAGGGGGCTTGCTAGCCCCCTATGTGATGGCAATAAGGTTAGTGTGGGGGAAAAAAAAGTGTTTAAAAATGTAAAAAAAAAAAGTAACCAAAGAAAAAAAAAAATGGCAAAAAAAATTGCAACTAGCATTTTTTTTATTCTACAGGGCATCTGCTTTTAGATCATATATCATTGTTTGGGGGTGTGAAGCTGTTTTCTAGACAAAAATTTATATTTTTATCATGTGTGCGCAAATAGTAGGAAAATGCTCCGGACAGCAAGTGAATGCGTGCAAAATCCCCCGATCTCGCATGAATTCTCAAAACACATGAAGTGTCACGCTTGCAGAGCCATTCATTGTTAACGGCCCCCCAAATTTAAAGGGTTATTAAACCCTCAGGTTTTTTTTTCATATATCTACTGCTAGCAAGCAGTAGATATATGCAAAAAATGGGGGGGGGGGGGGAACCCACTTTAAAAGAGGTTAAAAGAGGCGCTCCAGTCCGAAAATCTGAAAAATGTCGGGCGGCCGCAAAGGATCTTGGGGCGGGTGCATGCGCAGTTCAGATTTTGGGCCAGAAGACGAGGAGAGACACAAGGTAAGTCTATGGACACCATGCACCCGCATGCAGACACCGTGGGTCAAGAAGTGCCAGCAAGCACAGAGGAGTCAGCGCTGGATCGGAGACCCGCAGCAGCGATGCAGGGACAGCTGAAAACGGCAGGAAAGATCAGATTAAAAGACATCATTTAAGGTAAGTGCTTACACTAACATTGGGGGAAGGGAAAAATATATACTTTAACCTCTTGCCGTCCGCCCGTAGTAAAAAAACGGACGGATGGCACTTCAGCATTGGCGGGTTGCCGTCTCAGGACCATTGCACACACCCGTTACCGGGTGTTTCACATATAGGCGATCAGCGGCTACATAGCCCGCTGATCGCCTATATGTGCTCGTTCGCGTCCGCCCCCCCGACCCCTCACCTTGAATCCCGGGATCCGCTGCCCCATCTTGAATCCCGGGACCGGCTCGGAGGGCGTCAGGAGGAGGAGGACGGGAGATCAGCTCCTTGCTGATCTCCGTCCGGGCTGTGAATGCAGAAGTGATGTGTATTACATCACTTCCGCATTCACCTGTCAGTCATCTGGCTGCTATAGCCAGAGAAAAGAAGCTGATGAAGCAGATCTCTGCTTCATCAGCTTCTTTTGGGGTCCACAGGTGACATTAGGGGTCCTAGAGACCCCTAATGTCTCCATAAAGAGGACCTGTCAGTGTGCCTTTGCTATTATATAGGGGGATTGTTATCCCCCTATATAATAGCAATAACAATAAGTGCAAAAAAAAATATATAAATAAAAAAAAATAAAAGTAACACATAAAAAAATAAAATAAAATAAAAGCCACATATAAAAAAAGGGGAAAAAACCCCCCCAAAATGTTTAACTCCCCCACCCCCACGTTTACGCGCCTATAAACGTAAATACGCGTCCAGTGCCCCAGCGCGCAAAAATTACAATTGCGCTACACATGTTACATATCGCCGCGGACGTCGCAGTGAGAGCAATCATTTTAGGGCCATCAATCACTGATAACACTAAACTGATGAGCGGTAACAGCTTTTAAAGCGTCGCCTATGGCCAATTTCGGGTATTATCGTTTTTTGAGGTTTCACGCGCGCACGCAATTTTAAGGCTTAACATGTTTGGTGTCTTTTTACCCGACGTGACCCCGCCTTTTATATTTTACCAAAAAATTGGGTAATAAATGTTTTATCATTTATATATAGGGGAAACTGTTTTTTTTAAAATTTCGGTAATTTTTCCTTAATATAGTAAACAAATTAAAACCCCAGTGGTGAATAAATACCACCAAAAGAAAGCTCTATCTGTCCCCAAAAAAGGGTATAAAATTAATTTCAGTACAGCGCTGCATGACGGAATAAATGTCAGTCAAAGTACCGCAGCGCTGAATACTGAAAAATGGCCAGGATGGGAAGGGGGTTTAACACAGCGGATGTCAACTGGTTAATGTCACTTTAAGAAGCATAACATGTTTTTCATGCACAACAAACATGCATTTAAAAAAAAATAATTTAAAAATCTCGACGCTCAGGAGGTTGCACGATCTTCTTTGCCAAATGTATGGCAGCCCATTGAAATGATTAAGCTGCCTTACACGCAACAAACATAAAAGTGTGCACCATTTAAATGTAAGTGCAGGAGAATCAGTAATATTTGCAGCTACTCCAGAGGACCAGTGAAGTTTAATATAGTGTAAAGCTGTAGTTCTGGTTTGCTTCATAAGCGAGAATCTAATCAATGCAAAACATATAACAACTTTAAACAGTATTTTGCCGACTTCAGCCTCACCGGTTTTCAAATCAGCCACAGACGCCATAATGCTTTCCCTCTAGCAGCTGCAGTGAAAACAAGCAACGTCTACGGCGCCACGCATGCGCAGTCTGCTTCTACACCAACGGATTCGAGCGGTTTGATGAGCGAGCACTAGAGTGTAAACACTGTACACTCAGACTGTGTGTGAAGGGTCTTCTATGTGGGACTCTCGTGCACCCATTTTGGCGACGACTCGTGCTCTGACTGCTTCATTATAATGATCGTCAAATACAGTAATTGTCCGGAATGTCAGTTCAAAACTCAAAGGACCATTTCCAGGAAAAAAATCTAAACCTGGGACTGTCCCTGGAAATGTAGGACACACTGGCACCTGCTTTGTATTGTTCTGTGCATTTTCTATGGAGAACACTTACAAAGCAGTCAATTGCAGGGAATGGAAATGTTATGGGTGCATGATATGGCTTGTTGTCTGGACCGTGTTGGTTGGGAGGATGTCTGTTACTGGGCTGACAAAATTGTCACCAGCTACAAGTACTGAGCACACACTTCTGAACTGGTCCCTGCATGAGGTTGTATAATGTAAATTGCGAGCATATTTCCATGCCCAGAATACACAACTGTCCTCAGTAATAAATGGCTTTAGGTAGCTGTATGAAGGTTTACGATTCCGCATGCGTAAAACTCTGCATGTGTAAAGCCGTACACCCCTGGAACCAGACTTTCTGCATCCAGGTTGTACACTCGTACACATGCACAGTCTGTAAGCAGCCATTCATTACTATGTGTGGCTGCACACAGCAGCTGTGTATACCAGGTGCAGGTATATGCCCGCAATTTACAAGCATGTGTGCTAGATGCCATGTTTATGCTTTTTGATGCGTTAAATTATGCGTGTTTACATCCGTTTGGGTGTGTTTACATGCATATGCTTTAGGATGCATCTGGTACCAAATCCTAGCATCAAATTGTGTTTACATGTGTTTTGGTGCGTTTAGAAGTTAAAAGATATTCTTGGATGCACCTGACTTCTATTTGTTCTAAACACAGCTAAACTGACTCTAGATAAAAACATCTAAATGCAAAGGGTGAATAGATCCATTGGAAATCATTTGATGCCTATATCTGCATTTAGAAAAACATTTTAAATGCATATAAACATATCTTATTGCACCTAGTGTGAATGTAGGCTGAAAGTGATATTAAACCCATGTGTTTTATTTTTAAATCTCCACTGGAGAGCCATTTGTACTTGTGTAACTTTTTTTTTTATACTGCCTATTTTATAAAACATTTTTAAAGGGTGTATTGAGGCCCCCTCCTCTTTACGGGTGTCTCCTTTGCCTAGCAGGTTGCAAAGGAGACACCCGTGCTTGCACTCTCCCGACCTGGCATTGAGCTGTGCTGTGTGCATCTATTGACAGACAGCACTCAACAAGCCATGCCCCTTTCCCTGCCTCCTCGCCCCTCTCAGTTCCTTGACAGGTAGGTGCAGCAGCGTATTGCTGCCCTGCCTTCAGTGTCCTCAGGATTACTCCTCTCAACCTGGAACTTCGGGAACACATCAGAGATTATCTGGGAGCCGGCAGGAGTGGACATGGAGTATAGCGAAGTGTTTGGGGCATGGAAAGTTAGTGGGACATTTTTGACCTTAATGCAAAGAATGCATTAAGGTAAAAAACTAATAGCCTTTAGTACTACTTTGAACATAAAATGACTGTATGAGTGGATGAATGCATTGATTATGACAGAACCAAAGTCATACAATGAAATCCAGTATGTGTACACAGTCACAGAGAACAGTTTAGGTTTGGTCATCAAACTGTTCTGTTTATTAAAAGTGCTGCAAATTTTTATAGGGCGCAACGAACAAAAACGCGTAGAATAGCATGGTACAGACAGGTACTGGGATAGATAACAGTTGACATTTTGTGCAACTAGTTAGGACAAGAACGGAAACATACTCCCAAAATGGTACATTCCAAAGGAGTGGGCAAGAAAACATTACACAAGAATATTGGTTACATAAGTTACTGGGAATCTAAGGAAACCCTCTAACCTACTAATATACATAATATGGCTGCCTTTAGGCTAATCTTGTCACAACACTCGATACCTGGTAACGAGGGAGCATGGAGCCGGCTTCCAAGCCAGTCAGGAAACCGGGCACCGTGTAATGACTCGCCGCCTGGCTTCATGATTGGTCGAGAAGCTGGCCAATGAGGAAGTCAGGCGGCGAGTCATTACTAAGGATGGGCTCGATGTTCGAGTTGAACGTGAGTTCAACTCGAACATCGGCAGTTCGTGTGTTCAGCGAACACACAAACTGTCAGGGTATTCGGCGGGCTATTGGCCCGCCGAGTTCACCACAAAACAGGTGCAAGTACTCTGTAGGAGCCATGATTGGGCAAAGTCATGATAACTTTGCCCAATCATGGCTCACCTGTCAGATGCTGTACAATTGTAAACAGTTGGGGCGGAGCTAGCTGTCACCGCTAGCTCCACCCAATTGTTTATATGTTGCCGGCATCTGTCAAAATACCATTCTATGTCGGGAGTTCTTTGCAAGCAAGACTTTTTCAAAAGTCTGTTTTTTTAATTTACAATTTTATTTAACTCTTTAGTGAATGGGTAGGGGTACAAGTACCCTGTCTGCACCCCCACAAACAACGCCCCAGGGCTTGTGGGGAAGAGGCCCTTGTCCCCATCAGCACGGGGATAAGGTGCGTTTCCAGGGACGACCCTGGAAAATCACCCTCCCTGGTAGCGCAGGGAGGGGGAGCTCGCTCGTCCCCCTCCTTTCCTGCCAGGCCAGGGGTGACTCCATGGTTTTTTCCCCTCCCATTTTTGGGGGTGGGGTTCCGCCTTCAAATTCCTACCAGACCCTAAGGGCCTGGTAGGAATTTGAGGGGGAACACCACACACTTTTTTTTTTTAATGGGGTCCCTCCTAACATTCCTACCAGACCTAAAGGGTTGTTTGGGAGGGGGAACAGCACGCTTTTTTTTTTCTTAAATGTCATTTTTTTCTTTACAAATGTCACTTTTTGCTGCAGCAGGTTCTATACATTATACAGATGCGCCAATTTACAGGCAGTTGAGCTTAAAGGTGCCCATACACCTTGCAATTATCGTTCAATTGCTGAACGAAATCTGGTTGTCGTACGATAATTGGCCAGTTGATGGGAAGTGAATGATTAGAATTAGGGATGAGCTTCGCGTTCGAGTCGAACCTATGTTCGACTCGAACATAGCATGTTCGAGCGTTCGCCGAACACCGAACATTATGGGATGTCCGCGGTCTGTTCGACCGCGGCACATCCCACAATGCACTGCGCCGTCCGAAGCGGCAATTGGCTACAGTCCTGCACCTGACCGAAGGTCAGGTGCAAGACTGTGCCAATCAGGGCTCAGTACAAATATAGAGCCATGATTGGGCAGAGTCACGATGACTCTGCCCAATCATGTTTTCAATTGAAATGTCATTTGTTTTTCTTTTTAAATGTCACTTTTTGCTGCAGCAGTGCAGCAGGTTCTATACATCCTACAGATCCACCACTTCACAGGCAGGTTATGGGGACCCTCCAGGCACAATATTTGAAGGAATTTTTCATTTTTACTCTTACCCTGTAAATCATGTAAAAATCACTGTTCCTTTAAAAAATATTTTTTGGGGGTTTTTTTGCTTTAAATTTCATTGATTCCTGTCATTCAGGGCACTACCCGGATCCCCATACACTTTTTATGGCCAATAAATTGCATATAAGGCTTCAAAATGGGGACCTTTAATTTTCTGAGTTCTACCCCCATAGACTTGCATTGAGTTCTAAGTTCGAGTTAGAACTTTTTCCATGTTCGAAAGTTCGAGTTAGAACCGAACACGGGGGTGTTCGGCTCATCACTAATTAGAATGACTGTACTCCTGGCTGAATTTCGTCTATCGCGCGGGCTAGAAAACTTTTTTTGAATCGTACGAAAATCGATGGATTAGTGGCGTTTTCGTATGAAAAAAATTGGAACATGAACACTGCGCATACACAAAGGAAAATCTGTTCTGACGATCGTCGAAATTTCGGTCAGTTAGTATAGCTAACGAACGATAATTGAAATCCACATTGGTCTGTGCATGATGGGGCAGTCGTGCGGAAATCGAACAACGGTTGAATAACGGGACAAAAGAAATCGTGGGATAATTGTAAGGTGTAAGGGCACCTTTAGGCAAAATGTTTATTTTTTTTTGATAGAATGGGGAAGGGTTAGACCATCTGCATATTTTTATTGCTGTGTGTGTCTCCATTGGAGAGATTTACTGTTTGTACTGGTGTACTATTTGTACTAGTGTCCATTGTCACCAAGAACAAAAACTGTGTGGAAACATATTTTAGAGTTGTTCCTCAGAACAACAGAGGTAAGCGGAAATCTTCTAGTGGGGACATCTGTTTTGAGGAATTCCCCTCACTTTGGGAGATTTCCTCTAACCTCCTGTTGTATATCTGGGACAGGAAGTGAAGAGAAATTTCCCCAATTTTACACAGGTAGCAAAAAAATCATCTGGCAGATGTTAGAACTAGGGATGCACCGATAATGAAACTGGTGTAGACCCCTGTAGGCAGGAGTGCTATTAAATGTAGTTATTGTCTGATTGTAATCAGTCTGATGCTGATTTGTAGTGTATGCTCATCTGGTTTCCCCTAATCAGTCTGTCATTGTTTGCATCTGTCTGCTGCCGGATGTACCCTGGCCACATAGCAGAGCAACCAATGAGAGATTACTATAAGTAGGTAGGTCTTCCCAGCCAATCACTGGGAGGTTAATAGCCAGTGGTGCATACTGGGAGAGGGGATGAATACTTGGACTGGACCATGTGAGCTCTCTCTTCCTCCTCCGGGCCCTGGGGGAGGCTGCTATGGACTGTCTGAGATGGCTAGGCCTGAAGCCTGGGGACTAGCCATGTACTTACAATGAGGCCTGAGTCTAGAGGCCCAGTGGCTACTACTGATTACAAAAAGTAATATGATTTGTGATCTCTACCTCATGTGCTGCTGTGCCGGGTGTTCTTCACACTGTAAATGGAGACAGCTTCTACACCCTGCCA